GCTCCTCCCACCAATTAAAATGTTTTCTATTCAACTTTCTCACTTTTTATTAAATTTTGACTTCAGTTTCTGAAATTAAAACTCTGACTACTAGGATTGACTTATTATATTTTTAGATTCTCTGGGTTGAGTTTTCTAAGATCTTGGTTCTCTGAAATTGACTCACAATCCGCCCTAGCTTGCTGCTGCCTCCCCTACAAATCTTCACTGGATCACTAGATCTCTTTCTTTTGCCTGCACTGGACCTTTTTTTCACAATCTGCCCCAGATTACTGCTGACTCATGTCCGAATCTTCCCTGGATCACTTGACCTCTTTCCTTGCCCTGCACTGAAGCTCTTTTATCGCCCTGCACTGAAGCTTGCTTGACCTCCCACGTCTCTCAGGCAAAGGTGGAAATATAGTTGTTATTTACAGCTTGTTCTACACTTAATACCCTGTTAATGTATCATCTTTCTCTTCATTTGAATGCCTTGTTCTCAAGGTCTGTTTATAGACCACCCAAGTCTTGTAGAGCTTTCTTAGGTGAATTTGCTGATATGCTTTAATTTTATGCCTTAGTTTTAAGAGAATCATTATCCTTGGGGATTTCAATATACACACTGAATAACTTTCAAATTAGCTAAAGATTTTTTTGCCTTTACCTAAATGCTTTGACTTAACTCAGTTTGTTTGCACCCCCATGCATATCAAAGGACACACTCTGGATCTTATCATTGCTATTGGCTGTTTTATCTCTGAGTGCTCTTCCCCTGGCTTAGGACTGTCTGAACACCTAGCTATTCTTTTCATTCTGGAATTAGCAACTTATAACACCTTCCTGTTTCAATCTATTAATTATCACAACTGGGCTACTATTGATCAGCCTAAATTTGCTAATTCTTTTACTTCCTCTCTGTCTGGCATCTCCTCCTCTGACAACCTTGTTGAAAAAATAGATGCCCTTAATCAGGCGCTTTCATCTTTCCTTGACACCTTTACCCCATTAAAAACTCGAACCATGTCACTCTCACCCGACTCCATGGTATAATTCTCACTTACATTCAATGAAGGTAGTATTGCAAAGACTTGACCATAGGTGCCACCGTTCCACCATGATTGGCTGTCACAACAGTCACATGATCAGAAAGCTCTCACAAGCAGCAATTGGGAGCTCTCTGTTAGGCACTGTTAACTGTGCCTGAAATACAGGATTCATGCTCTTGGCACAGGTTTATTTGCATTTGGTTACACAAATATGCAACCTCTTGGCAGCAAGGCCCACCTACAAAGAGGCCACATATTTGTGTACTCTTGGCTCAAAGAGGTTAAAGGAGTTTTGCATTTTTATTGTTTCACTTTGAGCATTAATAAATCACTGATTGCCATCAATCAGATATGTATAAAACATGTTATTTCCTTTGGTATATGTGCCATAGGGCAGCGCCCAGTCCCTCAAGCCATTTGTGTTTGAAAATCCTCTGCCTATTAGCCTAGAAAATGGCCATTGCTTTCTCTTTGAAGTCATCCCTGCCTGGGGGAATCAACATATACTGGTAATACTGGACTATACTATGCAACATTTTTAAGACATCCTCTTGTGCAGCAGCTCAGAAAAGACTATTGCTAAGGAATGTGTCCATGTATTCACTTGAATAGGTATTCTGAAGGGAATATGAACTGACCAAGGCACACCAATAATTTCTAGAGTGACTAAGATACTTTAATAAGAACTTTAAGAGCAAAAAGTGGTAGATGTAGATGGGAAAAATTGAAATTTACTATTGCCCTATCTCATGTTTGCAGTTAGAGAAGTCCCTCAGTCATCCATAGTTACTCACATTTTGATTTACTTTATAGCAAGCATCCCAGGGGATTGCTAGATTTTGCAAAAGAAACATGAAAGGGAGGAACCAGACTTTACAGAGGTGTAATAGAGCATATTTCTTTAATGCAAGATAGAATAGTAGCTATCATGACTGTTGTTTAATAACATATGGAGAAAGCCTAAAAATCACAGAGAAAAGTTTGTAATGTAGGTGCCAAGATTTGTAGATTTGAAGTAAATTCCTGGCCAAATGGCAGGGCCCTTGAAGAGCACTATAAAATTAGGAAAATTAAACCAAAACGTTCATATGAAAGGAAATCTACCACATTACTTTCCTTAAGCCATGAAAGGACGGGGAAACCATAGTGACCATACCAGCCCTTCAAAAATATACAGGATTCTTAACACATAAGTAGAAATAGTTGAAACCTTATCAGTGGGCCAAAGAGGCAAAAGAGTTTGTGATGAAAAATAGGGATTTCTTCTCTGAGATACCCAGAGTTACCACAGATATTCAGCATGACATAGTTACCGAGTCTGGTGCCCTGGATAATGTAAAGCTGTACAGAATACTTGAAGCTAGGGAGTAAGCAGCTACAGAAGAATAAAATGAAAGTAGTAGTAAGAAAAGTGCTTTCATTGGGATTGATAGCGAAATCCCAGGGTGACTGGCCTAGTCCAATAATGTTAATTCCAAAGCCATATGGCAGTTGTTTATTTTGTAATGATTTCATAAGGCTAAATAGCTTGCCCAAAGTTGATTGACAGTGCAGCCAAATTTCATCTCAACAAGATGAATGCTTGTGACATTTATCCAACAAATGTTTTATATATAGACCCTATAGTGTCTAGTCATTTTTGTATATCGGTTAACGCATAACTAAATCTTCAGTGCTTTAATGCACACTCAACCATCACCAGAGATTTTGTAGTGTCCCACAGTAAAAAACATGAACTCCGATAAACTATTATATACAATATCAAAATAGTATAGCCATGCGCATTTGAACCTTTTGACAAGTTTTAAAAGTTTTGACGCTTTGTTCTAAAACAATAAAAACTGCAGGCTAAAAAAACAAGCAATAACAATATTAGGAGCCTAGCAAGTTTTGGAATTGATCATACACCATTTGCATATTATACTGTTAAACTTATTGAGAATAATTTCATCATAAGACTTTAAAAATACTTTTATATTTATTTTGATATTGATTTATATATCTCTGCCTACTAAATATTAACTTGCACGTCTTAGTGATAAATTCATGTTCTTTCCGACAGTTACTGTGGAGTCTAGTGTTGAAGATGAAACACACAATATTCAGACTATATAAAAGGCATTCTCTCTATTCTGCCATATGAATCTAATTTGCTGTATTCCAGCTAAGTTGCTGTATTCCAGGGGAACATTTTGCTCACTCATGAAAGTTTTACATTTTTAGCAAATTGGCTTTCAACAAAGGAAATTGGTAACAGAGGTTAATTGAAAGGAAGAAAGGAAGACTAATGAAGCATATGATTAAATTATATCAAAATTGTGCTTGATTATCAAATAAAGTAAGCACAGGGAGGACGTCCACATGTAATACAGAAGGGAACAGGCTCAAAACAAAGATAACAGATATCACACAAAAATGAGTAGTAGTGAAAAAATTGTCATGATACACTCTCTGATGTTTCAAAGCTAATATAACCTAAGATTTAAAAAAATTGTATTTTATGAGCAGTTAATACCTAAAATTTAAAAGACTAATACATTGTGAATTGGATGATGTTTGAGATAAAACGTGCATTTTACCATAGCAGAATTTAAATATTAGGATACCAAATGATTTTCAGTGCTTTTTGTTCATCCTGGTCCATCTGATCCAATGAGGTAAGTTTGGCAAAAACAAAATTGTATAAGAAACATGTATAGAAATATATTGTACAGTTGTATACTCAGTATATTATACAGTTATATACTGCCTCTTTCTCTGTCTGTATATATTATTATTATTATTATACAGGATTTATATAGCGCCAACAGTTTGCTCAGCGCTTTACAATATAACAGGAGACAATACAGTAACAATACAGTTCAATACAAGAGGGATTTGAGGGCCCTGCTCCTTGGAGCTTACAATCTAGGAGAGAGGGGCTAGTGGTACAAAAGGTAGTAACTGTGGGGGATGTACTGGTTGGAAGAGTAGAAGATTCCAGTATTAGCTGAGGGCAGGATAGGCTTCCCTGAAGAGATAGGTTTTCAGAGATCGCCTAAAAGTGAGCAGAGTAGGCGATAGTAGTCTGATAAATTGGGGTAGAGAGTTCCAGAGGATGGGAAAGCTCTGGAGAAGTCCTGGAGATGAGCATGGGAGGAGGAGACAAGGGGCTAGAGAATAGGAGGTCTTGCGAGGAGCGGAGAGTACGGTTTGGGTGATATTTAGAGACATATATATATATATATATATATATATATATATATATATATATACATACACATACACACTATATTGCCAAAAGTATTGGGACATCTGACTTTACACGCACGTGAAGTTTAATGGCATCCCAGTCTTAATCCATATAGTTCAATATTGAGCTGGCCCATCCTTTGCAGCTATAACAGCTTCAACTCTTCTGGGAAGGCTGTGAACAAAGTTTAGGAGTGTGTTTATGGGCATGTTTGACCATTCTTCCAGAAGCGCATTTGTGAGGTCAGGTACTGATGTTGGATGAGAAGGCCTGACTCACAGTCTCCGCTCTAATTCATTCCAAAGGTGTTCCATCGGGCTGGGATCAGGACTCTGTACAGGCCAGTCAAGTTCCTCCACCCCAAACTCGCTTATCCATGTCTTTGTGGACCTTGCTTTGTGCACTGGTGTGCAGTCATGTTGGAACAGGAAAGGGCCATCCCCAAACTATTCCAACAAAGCTGGGAGCATGAAATTGGCTAAAATGTCTTGGTATGCTGAAGCCTTAAGAGTTCCCTTCACTGAAACTAATGGTCCAAGCCCAACCCCTGAAAACAACCCTACACTATAATCCCCCTCCTCCAAACTTTACACTTACCACAATGCAGTCAGGCAATTACCATTCTCCTGGCAACCGCAAAACCCTGTCACATCCATTGGATTGCCAGACAGAGAAGTTTGATTCCTCACTCCAGAGAACTTGTCTCCACTGCTCTAGAGACCAGCGGCAGCATGCTTTACATCATTGCATCCAATGCTTTGCATTGCACTAGGTGATGAAAGGCTTGGACGCAGATGTTCAGCCATGGAAACCCATTCCATGAAGCTTTCTACACACTGTTGTTGTGCTAATCTGAAGGGCACATGAAGTTTGGAGGTCTTTAGCTATAGACTCTGTAGGCAGGTGGTGACTTCTGCGCACTGTGCGCTTCAGCATGCACTAACCCCACTCTGGCATTTTACATAGCCTAACAGCTCATGGTTAAGTTGTTGTTCCAATTTTCTTCCACTTTGTTATAATACCACAAACAGTTGACATATTTAATAACAAGGATTTTTCATGGATGGACTTATTGCAAAGGTGGCAACCTATTAGGGTGCCACGCTTAAAATCACTGAGCTCCTGAGAGCGACCCATTCTTTCACAAATGTTTGTAGAATCAGTCTGCATGCCTAGGTGCTTAATTTTATACACCTGTGGCCATGGAGGTGATTGGAACACCTGAATCCAATGATCAATTTAATATATATATATATATATATATATATATATATTATATCACCATGATATATTTTAAGATTGGTTGTGGTTGCTGCAACCACTTAAACGTGTCCCACACACCTCCTACTAATACTTTTTGACAAATATTGTGAAACTTGGTAATGTAATGCTTGGATGCAGCTGTTCGGCCATGGAAACCCATTCCATGAAGCTCTCTACACACTGTTGTTGTGCTAATCTGAAGGCCACATGAAGTTTGGAGGTATTTAGTTATTGACTCTGCAAGCAGTTCAAGACTTCTACGCACTGTGCGCTTCAGCATGCGCTGACCCCGCTCTGTCATTTTATGTGACCTACCACTTCATATCTGAGTTGCTGTTGTTCCCAGTTGCTTCCCGTTTGTTATATTACCACTAACGGTTGACCGTGGAATATTTAGTAGCAAGGAAATTTCACTGATGGAATTATTGCACAGGTGGCAATCTATCACGGTACCACGCTTGAATTCACTGAGCTTCTGAAAGCGACCCATTCTTTCACAAATGTTTGCAGAAGCAGTCTGCATGCCTAGGTGCTTGATTTTATACACCTGTGGCCATGGAGGTGATTGGAGTCCAATGATTTGGAGGGGTGTCCCAATACTTTTGGCAATATAGTGTATATATATATTCAGATTTTTTTTATTTTATTTCTGATGTTATAGAATTTTCTTCTCCCTGTTCTCTTGTAGAAGCTATATATGTGAAACACGCTGAGAAAGGAAACCTCCACTGGTGCATCCAGCATGAACTTCTATGAACATGTAGACTTCTTGAAACACACAGCGTATATAGCAAGGGACCGGTCACTTGTAGGGATGTCTCCATGGGGAGTGAATTGCAATTTTAATTTATTACACATTTTATGTACCAAAGGAGTGTATACTGTATGTATAAAGCATTGTTAACAAACAGTGGAGTATATTTTATTTATTTATATGTGGTTTTAATGTAACTTAATGTTTTATTCAATTTTAGGTAACATTCATTCATTTTAATATTTTGACATTTTGTCCATCCTGTCATTTTTTGTTTGCGAATGCTTGTTTATTGCTTTTAAAAAACTGATCTACTAAAATTGAAATGTCAGAGTTTTACAGGGAACAGATGATAACAAATAAATGTTGCTGCCCTCTTAAACAGGATTAAACCTCTTTATAGAACATTTCTGCAGACCACAATACCTCACATCCTTAGTGTACCCTCCAAACTGAACTTTTGCTGTTTTGTGATCCCTAGTAAAGTAAATAATTCTGAAAAACTGAGATATCCTGTGAGGTCCTGGTGGGGTGCAGCAAAGTCATGCAAGATTCAGGATTGTTATAGCATTAGGTCTAAACTTCCTAAAAGACTCCAGAAGAGAACTCAATGTCTTGTAATGCTCTTTGCTTGTGTACACTGTAGAGAAATGTAGTAAAAAGTGCAAAAATGGAAAAGCTGAGTGCACATTGCAGGCATGGATTAAAAGTACAGTACTATTGTTTAGAGTGTTTATTTGCAGGACTGGCATTGGAAAATGGAAAGGTGATTGTAAGTGGATGATTGACAGTATTTGACAAACAAAACAGTTATTGGTGGAAGAGGGAAAAAGGTAGGCAGTCATATATGAATCAATTTTCTTCCTTTCTGCCTTCTGCAGTGCTATTGTGTTCTGCCAGCAGAGGTGAGGGAGGATGTGGGGAACCTTCTCTGCTGACAGAACACAATGATTACTGCTAGCGGCTATAGCCACTGGCAGTAATCGCATGTAAAAAATCTGACAGGTTGGTTTAACCCAAGCCGATCAATGGGCTGGCTTGGGTACAATCAGCCTGCCCATACATGGATCAAAATTCAGCCAGTCCTTGCTGAACTGAATTTTGATCCATGTATGGCAGACTTTAACCACCTGCCATCCTGAGGATTTACCACCCTTAACCCCTTGGCTCTGGCGCCTCCCGGTCCTTTAAAGGTTTCAGAAGCCAGGAGGCGGGGCGGTGTTTTAAGGTCATGTGACCGCCATGATTCGTCGTCACAGCGGTCACATGATCGGGAAAGGTCCCGATTGAAAGAGGAGATCGGGACCTTTCCGTGAGTACCGGACATGTGTGCTGGGAGCGCACGGGGTGCGCGCTTTCAGCACATATGTTTTTGTTAATTGCACGCAAATGTGCGGCCACTCGGCCTCTAGGCCCAGACGCCGGGAGGCCGCACATTTGTGTGCAGCCAGCGTGAAGAGGTTAATGCTTAGGCCTCTTTTTGCTATTCGGCGTTGCACTATTTCAACTGATAATTGTGTGGTCATGCAATGCTGCACCCAAACTAAATTTACGTCCTTTTTTTCACACAAATAGAGCTTTCTTTCGGTGGTATTTGATCACCTTTGCGCTTTTTATTTTTCATGCTATAAACAAAAAAAAAGAGTGAAAATTTTGAACAAAAATTATATTTTTTTCTTTTGGCTATACAAAATATATAGTAAACTCAATGTCAGTTAGAAATTTAGGCCAAAATGTATTGTGCTACATATTTTTGGTATAAAAAAAATCCCAATAAGTGTATATTGATTGCTTTGTGTGAAAGTTATAGCGTCTACAAACTATGATTTAGATACTGCAATTTTTTTGCTATACAGCGCTGCACTAGTTTAACTGACAATTGCGTGGTCATGCAATACGGTACATAAATAAAATGTGCGTGCTTTTTTTCACACAAATAGAGATGTCTTACAGTGGTATTTGATCACCTGTGTGCTTTTTATTTTTGGTGCTATAAACAAAAAACATTTTGAAAAGAAACATTTGTGAAAAAAAACAACATTTTCTCAAAAATATCCAAAAAAGTCAAATTTCATCATAAATTTAGGCCAAAATGTATTCTGCTACATGTTTTTGGTAAAAAAAATCCCAAAAGTGTATATGTATTGCTTTGTGTGAAAGATATAGCATCTACAAACAAACTATGGTATAGATAATGGAATTTACATAGCTTTTACTTTCTGACTGCCCATCACATTTCTTGAGGTGCTAAAATACCAGATTAGTACAAACACCCCCAAATGACCCCTTTTTGGAAATTAGACACCCTAATCTATCTGCTGAGAGGCATATTGAGTCCATGGAAGATTTTGTTTTCCACAAGTTTTTCGAAAATTACAAAAACATATTTTTTTTTTTACACAAGCCATGGTTATATGTAGAATTACACCCCGAAATACATTCTGCTACTACCACCGAGTATGGGGATACCACATGTGTCAGACTTTTTTGGAGCCTAGCCACACACAGGTGCCTGAAATCCAATGACCACTTTGAAAGCCTGAACTTCCTCATTTCACTTCCTCACTACCTGTTAGGAATGGACTGGCCAGCAATGGTGGGACTCACCTGCCTTTTGATCTGCAGTACCAGGGCTGGCCAGCGGGTGCTCCCAGCAATCAGAGACTCAACCTTTCAGCCAGCTAACACCTGTTTAAGGGATGGCCAGACTTGCAGACTCTGCCTTGGTGTTGTGTTTGTCCTGGGCCCTGTATCTGTCCTGCATCCTGTTTCTGTTCCTTTGCTGACTTCTCCTGCTCTGATCCTGGCTTGTGACCATCTGACCATACCCTCTGTCTGACCCTCTGTACTATGCTGCTTGCTACCTGCTGAACCTGGCCTGTGACCCCGACCATTCTCCGCTTGCTCCCCCTGTACCTACCTGCCCAATTGATATTGACCCGGCCTGCCTGACGACGCTTGCTTGTATATACTGTTATCTGTGGGTGGTTTGGTTTGGTTTGTTTGCACTGTATTATGTTTTAGTATTGCACTGCGTTTATGTTTGTACTGTTAGTGTTAATAAATTATATTGTTTATAACATATCTGAGGTCTGCGTTTCCCTGCTTCAGTCACACACCTCTGGTCATACCTGGGAGCCCTGACATTACACCAAGGCCAATCCTGACCAGAAGTGGCTGCACAGGGAAGCCATCTTGGCTTGTTGATGGGAAGGATGGATCTTGAGGAGGTTGAGTATTTATATCTGCTAGTGTTTGATGACAGGGAGTATGCTTATCAAACTCTGAAGGAGTATACCCGGGATGAATTGCTAGAATGTATACGGCTCGCTCATGTTCTAGTAGATCAGGGCACAGAGTTCTCTGAGGTGCAGCCATTGATTGAGGTTTGTGCAGAGTTGGTTTCATCTGGTTCCCCCGAATGCAGGGATGAATTTTTGCCACCATTTAGTGCAGACCAGGTAGAGTCCCTGGTGTGGTTATTAGAGGATGATGTGGGTTACTTTCTGGAGCGTTATTCCACATGTTCACCACAGACACTGAGAGATTGTATAAACGCAGTGCAGTCATTGACCAGACAGACTTTGTGTAAGCTCAGCTTTGTTCAACCCCTACTGCAGACATGGACAGATTTGTTGCACCCAGCCTCAGTCAGCTTACAAAGACCCAGTCCTGCTTCTAACTCTACTCCTGTATTCCCACCAGCTCCTCCAGTTACAGCCCAGTATACTTGGCTATCTACCGCATGTCAGTACCCTGTTCCCACTCGCTGCACCTATCCTGCCTTTAACCCTGTAAAAAAGCCCTCTGTAGCAACTGCTCCCTCTCCTGTTCCATCCTCCAGTTCTTCTCTGTCTCCAGCTGCTCCATTCGTTTGCAGACCTGCGTTTACTTGCAGTGCTCAGTAGTTAAAACCAGAAAAAAGCGAAAATTCTTTCCAACCAATACCATCCTGCCAGTATCCAAACCGGTGAGCCTGCCTTCCGTGGTTCAGCCTGATGCCTGTACGCGGCCTGAAGCCTCTACTCGGCCTGAAGCCTCTACGCGGCCTGAAGCCTCTCCTCAGCCTGAAGCCTCTACGCGGCCTGATGCCTGTACTCGGCCTGATGCCTGTACTCGGCCTGATGCCTGTACTCGGCCTGATGCCTCTCTTCAGCCTGAAGCCTCTGGCCTGAAGCCTCTACTCGGCCTGAAGCCTCTACTCGGCCTGATGCCTCTACTCGGCCTGATGCCTCTACTCGGCCTGAAGCCTCTACTCGGCCTAATGCCTCTACCCAGCATGATGAACTGATCCAGCCTGACGATCCTATTAGGCCAGTTGACTCGATGCCCGCTGTTGATCCAGATGATCCGGTACCTGGTCCGGCGCCCGCCGCTCCGCCTGAGGGCCCGAGACCTGTCGCTCCACCTGGGGGTCCGGCGCCCGCCGCTCCGCCTGAGGGCCCGAGACCTGTCGCTCCAGCTGGGGGTCCGGCGCCCGCCGCTCCGCCTGAGGGCCCGAGACCTGTCGCTCCTCCTGGGGGTCTGGCGCCCGCCGCTCCGCCTGAGGGCCCGAGACCTGTCGCTCCGCCTGGGGGTCCGGCGCCCGCCGCTCCGCCTGAGGGCCCGAGACCTGTCGCTCCACCTGGGGGTCCGGCGCCCGTCGCTCCGCCTGGGGGTCCGGCGCCGCCGCCCCGCCTGGGGGCACGATGCCTGTCGCCCCGCCTGGGGGCACGATGCCTGCCCTGGGGGCCCCCCGCCTGGGGGGGCACGATGCCTGTCGCCCCGCCTGGGGGCCCGATGCCTGTCGCCCCTCCTGGGGGCCCGTTGCCTGTCGCCCCTCCTGGGGGCCCGGTGCCTGTCGCCCCGCCTGGGGGCCCGGTGCCTGTCGCCCCGCCTGGGGGCCCGGTGCCTGTCGCCCCGCCTGGGGGCCCGGTGCCTGTCCCCCGCCCGGGGGCCCGGTGCCTGTCGCCCCGCCCGGGGGCCCGGTGCCTGTCGCCCCGCCCGGGGCCCCCGGTGCCTGCCGCCCCGCCCGGGGGGCCCGGTGCCTGCCGCTCCGCCCGGGGGCCCGGTGCCCCGTCGCCCCGCCCGGGGGCCCGGTGCCTGTGCGCCCCGCCCGGGGCCCGGCCGCCCCCGCCCCGCCCGGGGGCCCGGTGCCTGCCGCTCCGCCTGGTGGCCCGCTGCCTGCTGCTTCGCCTGGTAATCCGATGTGCCTCTGCCCGGAGTCCTGCCCGATGTGCCTCTGCCCGGAGTCCTGCCCGATGTGCCTCTGCCTGGAGTCCTGCCTGATGTGCCTCTGCCCGGTGTGCCTCTGCCCGGTGTCCTGCCCGATGTGCCTCTGCCCGGAGTCCTGCCCGATGTGCCTCTGCCCGATGTGCCTCTGCCCGGAGTCCTGCCCGATGTGCCTCTGCCCGGTGTGCCTCTGCCCGGTGTGCCTCTGCTCGATGTGCCTCTGCCCGGAGTCCAGCCCGGTGTGCCGCTGCCCGGAGTCCTGCCCGGTGTGCCAGTCTTTGATATCCCGCCAGTTGCCAGACCCAGGCGGTGGAACATTTTGCCCAGCTAGGACTGTTTGGAGCGTCCTGAGGCCGCTCCTTGAGGGGGGGGGGTACTGTTAGGAATGGACTGGCCAGCAATGGTGGGACTCACCTGCCTTTTGATCTGCAGTACCAGGGCTGGCCAGCGGGTGCTCCCAGCAATCAGAGACTCAACCTTTCAGCCAGCTAACACCTGGAACTGATGATACTGGTGTATTTAAGGGATGGCCAGACTTGCAGACTCTGCCTTGGTGTTGTGTTTGTCCTGGGCCCTGTAGCTGTCCTGCATCCTGTTTCTGTTCCTTTGCTGACTTCTCCTGCTCTGATCCTGGCTTGTGACCCTGACCATCCCTCTGTCTGACCCTCTGTACTATGCTGCTTGCTACCTGCTGAACCTGGCCTGTGACCCCGACCATTCTCCGCTTGCTCCCCCTGTACCTACCTGCCCAATTGATATCGACCCGGCCTGCCTGACAACGCTTGCTTGTATATACTGTTATCTGTGGGTGGTTTGGTTTGGTTTGTTTGCACCGTATTATGTTTTAGTATTGCACTGCGTTTATGTTTGTACTGTTAGTGTTAATAAATTATATTGTTTATAACATATCTGAGGTCTGCGTTTCCCTGCTTCAGTCACACACCTCTGGTCATACCTGGGAGCCCTGACACTATCACAGTTTCGGAGGCCCTGAAATGCCAGGATAGCACCAAACCCCCCCAAATGTAGACATGGAAAATGGAAAGTAGACACTGCAAGGAAAAGGCATGGTGAGTATTTTGCAGATCTCATTTTTTCTCACAAAGTTTTGAAATAAGAAAAGAAAAAATATGTTTTTGTTTTCTTCATTTTCTAAAAGCTTGTGGCAACAAATGAGATCTGCAAAATACTCACCATGCTTTTTATCCAGTTCCTTGGGGTTTCTACTTTCCAAAAAGGAGTCATTTGGGGGGGTTAGGTGCTATCCTGACATTTCAGGGCCTCCGAAACTGTGATAGGTAGTCAAGAAGTGTAACGAGTAAATAAAGCCCTTTAAAAGCCTGAAGGTGCCCATTGGATTTTGGGGTCGTCTGCTTGGCTAGACTACCAAAAAAGTCTCTCACATGTGGTACTCCCGTACTTGGGAGAAGTAACAGAATGTATTTTGGGGAGTAATTACACATATACCCATGGCATGTGTGAGCAATAAATAATTTAAGTGACAATTTTGTGTAAAAAAAAATATATATTTTTTTTGTCATTTTCCAAAAACTTGTGGTAAAAAAATAAATTCTTCTATTGACTCAACATGCCTCTCAGCAAATAGTTTGGGGTGTCTACTTTCCAAAAAGGGGATGTTTAGGTGAGTGGGGGCATTAGACATTTATGCCACACACATCATTCACCCTTCTAACCAAGTCTTTTGTGACACTTTTTGTTCACATGAAAAAATCTGTATTTTTTTGCTAGGAAATTACTTTGAACCCCCAAACATTATATATTTTTTAAAGCAATGCTCAGCGGGAAGGAGCCAGAAGTGCCAGCAGGAGATCAGAGAAGAAGAGGTCATTGCACAGAGCAGGTAAGTATGACATGTTTTTTATTCTGAAAAAAATAAAAAAATAAGTCTTCAGTATCACTTCAAAATAAAACTATCATCAAAGCACTATCACCAGGCACAAGACAAAGGGCACCTGTTCAGATCTGCCATCAAGGATTTGAACAAGAGCTGATGACTTTCAGTGATGAACATGCAATTAGTTAATTATTAAGGTAATATTGAGCAAGACTTTGTATGAAATATTTTCATGCAAAATCTTTCCAGTGAAGACAGTAAATGAGATGAAATCTCCCCAGCGGAGTCATTGATTAAAAGCAAAAGAGACATTTTGAATCTTACCAAGGCTATCAAAAGCTAAACAGGTGTTTCATGGAAATAAACTTTGAAGAGTATTTCACTTTACAATACTGGTTTAACAGAATAGCCTGAATTTTTACTTAAAATATTTTTTTTCATGCTACACAGGCTTTTTGTGTGAACAAATACTCGACTATAGATAGAAAAGAAGCAAAAGCAGAAAAAGGAAATACTTCACAATAATCTAGGTAGTTAAATAGTCAATATCACTTGCAGACATCTTTTTAACCTACCTTCTTACTTCCCTCTATTATACCTATCTGTATAATTTAGTATATACTTTATCCAACTTTTCCAAACATCTCTACAACTACCTCTATCTCCACCCATCAGTCTGTCTATCTATTTGACATGCTTACTTTCCATATACAGTAGTTTTTTACCCATTCATACATGTTATGTAACTGATTTTCTGATTTTATATTTTCTCTTCACAAAGTCTATAGAGACCCATGGTAAGAAACATTATGATAAGGTCATTTAGCTTTTCAACTGGTCAACATAAATGGGCACAAACACTTACAAGGTGTGTGATAGGTGACACCTTCACTCTAATTTTTAACAAACAGTCTTAACTGTCAGATACAGAAATTCAGTGCTGTTATTATTCAGTTACAAATACACTTGAAAGAAGCTACGTACTTACTCATCCAAAAAAACCAAAACAAATAGTAAAGGAACATACCATTAGTTAGTTTTTTTTTTTTCAATATATTAACATTTTTTAATACAGAGTTATCAAAAGCAAACAAAAACACATTTTAAGATTAAAAGAGTTGAGCAGTTGGTGGGGTTTAGAAGTAAGGTTGAACCAGACTCAATAACTGTAAACATTACTCCAGAAAAGCATTAAAGATAGAAGCACCTTGACAATTTTATCACAGTTGGAAGCATAAAGCTTACACTAGTGGCAGTTTTTGTCAAAAAATTATGTCCAGAGATAGCACTTTAATTATAGCCCTATTTTCCGATTTCAGACTGGATTATTTGTTTTATCATTGTTTCATTTTAGATATTTTTACAAAAACATGTTGTACTCCACTTTATTTATCTGAACTTTATAAATATATTTCATACAGCTAACAATGAGTAAATTGATGGTGGATAGTAGTAGTTTTGATATCGCCTGTGTTAATATTGCACAGCAGCTCCTAGACTTTAGGAAGGGGGAAGGACAGCACTGGGAGCTAATCAGGCTCTCCAATGTGCACATGTGTTGACAGAAAACATCCCAAAGGGGGAGAGAGAAGAGTCAGTAGAGCTGGTGATTTATCACTGTGTTGCTGCTTCTTCATTGTCTGATTATCAGACTGCAGACAGGGAGGTGGCATGACTAAATTCCTTACATCTAACAGAGGTGTATGAAACACAGACTTTGCTGAAAAATTTTCTTTCAAATAAAAGTGCTCAAATATGTGCATTTGAACTGCTATTTTACCTGGTGTTCAACTTTAAACACGTAGTACATATCAGTGGCACTACGACACTACTCTTTGTTTAAAAAGTTAAACATTTTAATAGTATACAATAAACTTTATATCTTCTTGCTCATTGCATACATACAAATATTCTAACATTACAGGACAATATTGAAATAGGCAAAATCAGTTGTGAACCCCCAAGCAGAAGGCAAAACAGGAAGATCAGACACCTACCCACCTGGTGTATGTTTGATCATACTTGACACTGCTTTACCACTTTGTGTTCTACTTAGCTTCAGATGACAAATAATTTTTTCCCTTGGCTTACCGGGAAATAATATGGAGGGGAAAAGGCTGGGCATTTGATTAGGAGCCTGAAGAAAATATACATTCATTGTCTTGAAAACTTTGGTAATAATATAGCAGCACAGTGGCACAAGTGATTAGCACTTAGGAATTACTGTACCTGCCTGGAGTTTGCATGTTCTCCTTGTGCCTGTGTGGGTTTCCTCCGGGTACTCCAGTTTCCTTTCATTCTACAAACACATGCTGTTAGATTAATTGGCTCCTGTCTAAATTGGCCCTAGTATGTGTATGTATGAATGTGAGTTAGGAACCTTAGACTGCATGCTCCTTGAGGACAGGGACTGATGTATAATAAATATGTAAAGTGTTGTGCAAATTGACAGCGTTATTTAAGTACCTATAATAATACGCTTTGGTCAGGGAAGTCTTTTCAACAAAGCAGCTAAGATTAATTTGGTGTAAGGGCAGAGAAATTGTCTAACATCCTAAACATGAATCAATAGTGAAGGACCAGTTCTATGGGAAAAAAAAGTTTTTTTTTTGTGGTGGAGAAAATCGTTCCTGGTTTACTCAAAATATAAAAGTATGTAGTCCCATTAAATACTCAATATAACTTAGACTTAGATTAGATTTGTCTAACCTGGGTCAGACTTGTTTTCAAGCAGAGAAATGAATAATCAATCCATATTATCCTGAAGAAAGCTGGTAAGTTCCTAACCAAAATGTCGGATAAAGGTAATTTTTTTAACCTATTTACCAACTACAGTTCACTAAATCAATATAATTAGTAAACTAAGAGACCCATTGGGTAAATACAGGTATTATGCACTTCAGGAAGCATTTAGAGTACCTGAATAACAGGATTCTCCAGAATTAAAGGTAGAAGTACAGGCATTTTTTAAAAAAATTGGATAGAGCAATGTAGATTTATAACCCTTGTCCAATTTTTTCCCCATATGTGTCCCATTGCAGAGATTTCACTTCACTTCCTGTCCTATAGCTAAACAGGAAGTGAGAGGAAATCCCTACAAATTAAGAACATTCATTGCGGACCCCCAGGGTCACCAGAACTAGTGTTCCTATTGATTTTCCAGAATTTTTGATTTTCTTTTACTTTCACTTTCAATGATAACAGAAAAAAAGGCAAATAGAGAGGGTGACTCTCCTTAATGGAGGCACAGACAGCAACTGATAGGTGTTGTAATCTCTCTCCAATATATACAAAACAAAACAAAAAAATTGCCGTTAGTCATACTTTAAATGTTATCCCCCTTTCCACCCAGCCTCAGCATCCCTTTAATAGGTTATGTGCACTGGGGCAGGAAGGATTGGCAATCATGTGACC